ACCTCACAACATTCATTTAGAACCAGAGAATCGGAATGAACAATCACACTGTTAGTTCGGTGGTTAGAGTCCCAGTGTTTAGACTTCAGGTTTTTACCTCTGCAGAGAGGACTCAGGAGGAAGGCTTAAGGACGGGTCATGCTCGGTGGAGGTCCCTCATAGTTAGGGTCTGAGGTTGGCGGCAGGCACTGTCAGCAGGCTCTCGGTCTTCAGAGACAGTAAGAGACTGGAGAGAGAGAGAGCCCTTTGCCTCCACCCTCACAGTGAGCGAGCAGAAATCCAGGGTTTATATGTGAATTTGTCACCTTGGCTCCACACGGCAAGGGCCAGTGTGATGTCAGAGACCACAATGTTGTGTCTTTTCTCCAGAGCTAGAGAATGAGGCATCTTCTCTTGAAGTTAGAGGTTAGGGAGGTTGTTTAGATTTGTGTTATGTTTTCCCGCGTCACAGCGTGCCAGGTCAAAGTGAACTTAAAGGTGTTCACATTCTTTATGTACTTCATGTGTCTGTGTTTCTGTGTCTACGTTCAGAAGTCTCCTAATTAACTTTCTCGTGACTTACAGGTTTCTAGTGACTTACAGTTAATGTCAGAGAGCCTCATAAAGGAGACATAATTCTGTTTCTAAGTTCATGAGGGCTTATACATACATATTTTGAAAGCCTAATACCCATTTACAGTTGCCGTGGAGTCGATTCTGACTCATAGAGACCCTACAGAACAGAACAGAGTAGCACTGCCCCATATGGTTTCCAAGGAGTGCCTGGTGGATTTGAACTGCCAACCTTTTGGTTAGCAGCTGAGCTCTCATCCACTACACCACCAGGGCTCCGTGCCTAGTGAAGGCAAGGGCAAATCAAGGACAGTGGTGTGGCAGAGACTTTCCGGAAAGCTGCCTGGCTTATACTGACACACCATCCAGGCAACCGCTTAAAAATCCCGGATTATACTCCTCTCCCTGGCCCCCGAGACCATCTCAGAGAGGCCTGGCCTGCTCCTTCTTCCTTCCCAAGACTCTCCACTACTCTCAGGACAAAGACCCAAGCCCTGAGGGACTCCCCCAAGCTTTAGCCACCATCCCCCCGCCCCTGCCACCTTGGCCCTGGCCTCAGCAGCTCCTCTTAATTCCTCTGACAACCTGGGCCTTTCTTGGGGCCTCTGCACGGATCCCTCAGCTCTGAAGTTTCCCTCCTAGCCCTTGCCCTTACTCAAGACATCAGGTTTCGGGGTTAAATGTTACTTCCTTGATTCTCCCCCACATACACCCTAGACTGTCGCTCTCCTCACTTCTCCTATGTTGTCACGACTTTCTTAGAAACTGTACTTGTGTGGTGTAATGGTTAATGGGCTCTGGACCTCAGCTTGCCTTGGGCAAGGGACTTAACCTCCTTGTCTCGGTATCCTTGTCTGTAAGATGAGTGTGGTATACTGTTATATTGGTGGTCCCCAATGAAGCATGTCTTCAGATAGTCATGGGTATTCATGCCCTTGTATAATCCTCTCCCCTTAACTTTGAGCTGGCCCTGTGACTCGCTTTAGTCAAGGGAATACAACGAAAATGATGCCGTGCCAGTCTGAGCCTAAGGCTTAGAGGGGACTAGCAGTTCTCACTGTTGAGCTCCTGGGAACCTTGCTTGGACGGCCATATAAGAAATCTGGGTACCCTGCTGGAGTGACCATGAGGAGAGACCCCATGGAGAGAGACGCCAGCCCAACTATCCCAGTCATCTGCAGCTGAGCCACCCACCAGCAAGACCAGCAGAAGAGCCATCCAGCTGAGCCGAACCCAGGTTGCAGAACTGTGAGCAAATAAAATGTTTACTGATTTAGCCAATAAGCTTCCCGGCAGTTTGTTAGGCAGTGATAACCAAAACAATGGAGACAATTATTAGTCAAACTTCCTAGGGTTCTTGCATTAAATAAGCGAATGATTATATAAAGTGTTTGTATCAGCGCCAGTATAAAGTGCTTAAACTCAGTGGTTATTTTATTAAATGTCTTCCCGTTAGGCAGTGAGTTCCTAGTATTGTTTTCCTCACCATTGTATGCCCAATGCCTGTCACCAAGTAGCACTCAAGTATTTGTTGAAAGAACGAACACATATCTCAAACCATCAAGGTTCTTAGCCAAACTAGAGTCTATTTCTAAAGCAAGCACCAATGACTGGCACAGTTGCTGAGAGAACATTTTTTAATAGGATCCACCCTGCTTGGAAGTCAGTTACGGTCTTAATTAAAAATTTCCCTTCTCTACTGGAAATATAAACATTTCTCTTCTGTTATTTAAGACATTTTAAAAAAATGGCTTCCATCATATTTTAGTTAACCAAACCTCTATTGTTGGACATTTAGGTGACTTCTGATTTTTTCCATGATATAAATGCTGCTGCAGAAAGCATCGCTGCACATACATGTTTGTGCACGTC